ACACACACACACACACACACACACACACACACACACACACACACACACAGTGCAGTCTTTCCTGTTTCTCTCTGCTTGCTTGGGAGGAAGCTCAGGTGCCACCCAACAAGACAGCTTTGCCTGGTTACACAGACTGAACGTGGTGTTCTCTTGTGCTTCCTCACTGGCCTGTGTCTCTCTCCGTCATCTGAGTTCTTTATGTACTGCAACCATGTGTTGCTTATCTTTGTACCTCCAGTCCTTGGTTCGGAGGTTGGCAAATTCTCAGTAAATATTTGGTGAGCGAGAGAATTTTGTAGTCTCTGAACAGCTGCAATACGGTGTTTTTAAATTCAGCAATGGTTTTTAGATTCCATTGCTTGGATAGAAATTCTATTAGAGTCTGATAACTTACCATGTAATGCTCTTATTTTTACAGAACTGGTTCTCCTTTCTCACGGTGTCATGGTTTAATATGATAGGTAGAATCACATTCTATGAAGATTAAAGCCTTTCTGTCATCCTCACGGATTATTCAGTGTGTGTGTGTGTGTGTGTGTGTGTGTGTGTGTAGGTAGTTTCTTAAGTTAAATTAAAATTGTATTCTCTGCAGTTGAGTGTAGTGGTGCATGCTTTTAGTTCCAGCAAGGATAGACAGTTTTCTACAAGCTCAAAGCCAGCCTGGTCTACATAGTGAGACAATGTCTCAAAAATTATTTTTGCTAAATATTATTAAAAGACATGGCAATTGGCCTTCTCTGATGCCCCTTAGATGGTGTCCATGTATCAGACTGGCATCCAACTTGTTGTGGACTGAGGACGACTTTGACCATCTGATCCTCCTGCCTTTACATCTCAAATGCTGAGCTTACAGACACGGACCCCGAAACCCAGATAGGACCCAGCCTTTGTCTATACCTGGCAAGCACTCTTCCAACTGGGCTGCAACCCCAGCCCTCATTTCATCATCAAATAGGGTTTTGGTGCCCCAACTCAGAATTAAATACAGCTTTGAACAGAGACAATTACCTTCATTAGAAAAGAACACTCTTGGGTACATTTTATGCATACAAGTTGATCTGGGAGAGACTCAGAACCTGTTCTCACTGGAACTGAAGCTCTGACACACCAGTTGTGGGCTGAGGAGTCTTACGGTGACCTCATAGGTCTAGTTTACTTGGTTTGGGGGAGATGAGCAGTCAGGGGCAACATTGGTAACTCTATTTGAGGTAAATCTGAATTAAAGTCACATTTGCTGGTGAAGTTGCAAAAAAGTAAAAGGAACGATGCCTATATAAATGAACTACTGAAAATCTTAGCATAGGCCAAGATACTGAGCTCTTTGTAAAACCGGTTATGGTTTTAAGCTATAGGAAACTTTTTAAGTCCATCTATAGGAAAAGTACCTGATATGGGTTTCCTTGTAAATCTAGACATGGGTGCCTATTGAAATTGCTTGATTTTCACTTCCCTTAGCAAGTGTGTTACTCGGCTGAGGCCATATTCAAAGGCTGGGTGGATTGATCCCCTGCAAGACACTTGAAGGTTAAGTAACTTCAGATCTCAGGCTAATCCGGCTAAGCTGCTGATGCTAAATGCCGGCTGGCCGGCATTCCAGGTGCGACAGCTTCCACATGCTCTTGTTTGGGCCCTTCCCTTTTGTCCAGAGAGCCACTTTGGAGCTATGTGGCTCTTGGCCTGCCTGTGCCTTGTGCTTTGCTTCCTGGGAGGAGTGCACTGTACCTGCCCCTCTCAGTGCTCCTGTGAGCATCACGGCAGACATGACGGCTTAGGATCAAGGTACGCCTCTCTCCTTGTTATGAAGTATTCTGATTGTCTTGGTAAGAAAAAGGAACCAGACTGATCAGCCTCATTTTATGACGGCAAATTATTTGTTAAAAATGAGAAACGGTTTAACCTCATGAGACTTGGTTCAGTGTTTATTAGCTGATTGTCTATTTTTATCATGGACAATGCTTACCTCTCAGAAGCCTTACACGGGTTTCTGGAATTCCAAAAGCACTTTCTGTCTTACAAAGATGTTTGTTACAGTTATGTACACACAATACCCCTCTCTGGAGAGCAGACCATATACCGTGTGGGCGTGGGGCATGAGTGCAGGCTTGTTACGGAAAGCGCAGAGAGTGAGGCTGGGTAGGAGCTGCGGGCTTATTGATATCGTCCACTGAGAGTTTCCCACTGTGCCCAAGGATTAGTAACAACTTGGTATGAGGAGGACAACAGTCAAGTTGGCGAGGTCAATTTATGAAAGTAAAGATGTTTGGAAAATACCACCTGTTGCAGATATTGTAGGCCCTCATAGAAGTTGTTAAGTCTCTATGTAGCTTTAACATAGTAAACATAATTTGTTTATGATATGCACGAATCCTTTTCCATGTAGGCAAATACAATATGGAACTCTTATTAGCCAAATACGGTAGACTCTGGGTTTTTTGAGAGTATTTTTGAAAATGTTTACTAAAAATAATAAATGCATCCTTGTGACTTTGCTAGTTGACATAAACAATGAGTCTCTGAAACAAAGCTTAATATAAGAATAACACAACTTTAATCAAATGATAATTAGGGTTGTGGTGTAGCTCAATGGTACAGCACACACCAGGCAGGTCTAAGGACACACATCTGATATCCAGCACAGCAGTGATGATGAAGATGATGATCATGGTGATGATGGTGATGGTGATGTTGATAATGCTGCAATTAAAGTTTATTTGTGAATGTTTTTATTTAGCCAACTCTGGTACCCTTTTTGAGACGTTCCCTGAGAAGTAAGATGCAATGAAAACAACAGAGGTTAGCACCTGTTATCCCAAAGATTTACAGCACTCGATAACCAGGCCAAGGAATCTCTAAAGACATTGCCAGAATGTCATCTTCTCCACGGTGGCCCCATTATGGTGGGCTCTACAAAAGCCACAGAACATTATGTCTGATTAGACCTCTCAAAGGACTCTAGTTCAATACCTGTCATATGTAAGTGAAGAAACAAAACTGCACAGGGACAAGTGACTGAGTCACCCTGGGTCTCAGCACCCTGATGCAATCACTGGGCCAACCAAGGTGCGGCTCCAGCTTCTTCCTGTGATAGCACATTGAAATGCTTACCTAAGGAGTGGACACTGCCATCATTCTGGTGTGAACTGACCCTGAGGTTTGTGATAGAAGTGCCCCAGAGACAGTCCAAGGTTCTCCGTGGTCTTCTAAAGTAACAGAAGTAACAAAAACACATTATTATATGCCACCAACAGGGCCTAGTGGCTCCACCCTGCTTGTCCCTGTGGGCATTATGGGCTGGCTGTGTTAAACTCATGGGCTTGCTGGGAAGTGTTTACCTGACAGTCATTTGATTGTTACGAATCACAATTTGAACATTGTTTTCTTTTCAAAACAGCGTATTCACATTGAGCAGTTCAGATGGTTGGGGGGGGTGGCGTGTAAATAGATAGTTTTGAGACTAGAACGAATCTAAGATTTGAGAATCATCATATTTAAACACACTCTCCGGACAGGTTCTTTTTCTACTCTATTTCATTCATGCTAACAAACAAGTTTAGGGAATGACTTGTTCAAGGACTGACTGCCAAAAGGAATCTGTTTGGTTTCTGATCTATTCCTTAGGCAGAAAGAAATGCATTGACATCTGCTCCTGCCTCCAGAAGTGGTTATCTCATAAAAGGATCCGTTTATTTTATCTTATTTTATTTTAATGATAGGCTCTCATGTAGTCTGGACTAGCTTGGAATTCCCTGTACCCAAGGATACCTTGACTGACTGATCCTCCTGCCTCTGTCTCCTGACTGACGTGACTACAGGTGTGTCTCATGCCTAGTTTATGCTGGTTTATACTGGTTTATACTGTGCTGAGGATTGGAGCCTGCTAGGCAAACACTTTATAACGAAGGTACATTCCAAGCCCCAATTCATGGTTTTGAGAAGATTCTTTTGACATCGGCCATTTTTTAAAGAGATTCACTTTGGTGTTGGAGAGAAGTGGGTTGGAAAGGTGGTTCTGGAGTATCCCACGGGTGGTCACCAGGGAGACATCATCTACCATTAGTGGGCACAGATTATTTCAGATGTTTACAGTCAATTGTTGGTAACAGCAGCAAATGCTGGCTGAGAACGTACGTGCCAGGAAGACATAGGATTCTACTTCCATTTCAATCAATCATAAGATGACAGCGTGACAACGTGACAGTGAGTCAGGTGAAGCAGCAGTCCCTGGCCACAGAGAAGGCGGAAGAGCTCGGCTTTCTTTAGTCTGTTACCCATTATCTGCCTCTTTGGAAAGCTGTGATGACTAATAAAGAAATGGATGTGACCGGTGTTTCTAAGGCCTAGCATGAAGAATCTCTATAAATATCCATTGACACCACGACGTTGCTCATATTTGATCAATTTTAACTATGAGAATGGCCATTTTGTGAGTTCAGTCAAATGGTCACCATATTGGGTGATCATGGGGAGGAAGAAGATGAAGATGATGATGATGGTGGTGGTGGTAGTGATGAAAATGACGTGATGGTGAGTCTATTGATAAGCAGGTTTTCCAGACTAAGCAAATATGTAAAAAGCAGTAGGGTATGAAAGACATGCATGTTTCATATAAGGCTTCATTTTAAAGTGAGTCACGGAGAGTAGATCTTCTTGCATTGCTTTTGTGATGACAGGTCAGTGTTGTGTAACGACCTGGATATGAATGAAGTCCCGACAAACTTCCCTGTGGACACCTCGAAGCTTCGCATAGAGAAAACCGTGGTCAGCAGGATCCCTGCTGAGGCCTTCTACTACCTGGTGGAGCTTCAGTACCTCTGGCTGACTTACAACTCAGTGGCCAGCTTAGAAACCAGTAGCTTTTATAACCTAAAGCAGCTGCATGAGTTGCGTTTGGGTGGGAATTCTCTGACTGCTTTCCCTTGGGTGTCTCTGTTGGACATGCCCCACCTGAGGACGCTAGACTTACACAATAACAGAATAACCAGTGTGCCAAACGAGGCAGTCAGATATCTGAGGAACCTTACCTGCCTGGATTTGTCAAGCAACAGACTGACCACACTGCCACCAGATTTCCTGGACAGCTGGTCTCATTTAGCGATGACACCTTCTAGAATCCCAGACCTTCCATCGAGAAGAATTATTCTTGGTAAGTTTGAAAGCTTGTTATGCATAGTTTTAAGTGTGTGTGTGTGTCACCAAGGATCTACAAGGATCTAACCTGGGGTCTTAACACTTGCTAAGTATATAAGCGTATATCACCGAGATACCACCCACTCCCTGAATTCAATTCATCTACACCTGCTTAGCTGTGTTTCCTGTAATATGTAATGGCTGTGCATGTGAGCCCATGTATGTACATGTGAGAACACATATGTGCATATGAGCATGCATGTGAGCATGTAGAAAGCACAGGGAGAAAGGTGCTCTCAATCTGAGAGAGTTTACCAGCCTGCTGCACTCATCTGATCGCACCAATGAATGCACAGCTACCCTCTGCTGCTCTATTTTCAACCTCTTACTCGGTCCTTCAGTAGTACCTGCTACTCAAGTACCACGGCTTTTATTAAATCTCTCTGCTTAGAGAGTTCCAGGACAGCCAGGGCGACACAGAAAAACCCTGTCTTGGAAAAAAAAAAAAGGTTGGAGATTCTACATATGCCCATTCTTCCGATCTCGGGTGATAGTTGTGGTAAGGACCATTTTGTAATATATTACAGATAAAGACAGAAGGCACAATCAAGCCACTTGCTCTGATTGGCTCACCACACCGTGAGGAAGCTGGGGTAGGAGTCCAGGTCCTGTGGGCCTAAGATCCATGCCAGGTCCGATTTCTCTGTGACATGTTGTGGGAGGTTTGCTCGCTTGGACGACCTTTTCAGATTGTGTCTTAAAAGAGAAGAAGTAGGGGCACACTCTGAGTTTCTCTCTCTGATCTAGATGAGTACAAACAGCAACTTAGAACATTTCAGTGTATGGATAGAACTCCAAACTAGAGTCATGGAATTCCAGTTTGAAATTATAATACTGGCAGATTTCCAGATCTTTACGCAGGCACATGTGTAAGGACATCTACTGTTTAACCTTAGAGGGCAAACCTAATAGTTGGAGAGAGTACCAAATGTTTATTCAGTGGCTTTTTTTTTTATTGACACCCAAATTTGTTCACTTGTAAACATAGTGGGATTTGTCCAGAGGGCAGCAGCAGCCCGAGTGTTTTCACAGAATTCCCCAAAGTGTTAATTGAGTTCGTATCTATGGATATATCCTGATTTCTTGCCAGGTCACTCACTACAGCCTGGGGGTGTGGGTCTATAATTGTCACCCCCTCTTTCATAGCCAGGAAAGAGGCAGAATCAAGTCTCAGATTTGTCATTCATCTCCAAAGACATCATTTGTCTTTTACAAGTTTTTTTTTTTTTTGAGTAACTGACACATACTTTGTCCATTGTGAAATGCAAGATCGGAAGTGAACAGTTCAGTGAATTCTTACAAAAGCTTGCCCTTGAAAATGATACCTTCATCAAGATGGAGAATATTCCATCACTTAAAATGGCCATGCTTTTGATCTCCTGTGCCAGTGACACAAGACTGTGTCTCATATTGTGGAGCCGTTAGGTTGGTTTGCATCATCTGCTCTAGCATGCTTCAGGAATGGTGTGTCCTGTGACACACAGGCTGGTGCCCAACTTCTGTCACTCAGCAGCATGTTTCTGAGGCTACCCATTCCCAGGCTGACATTCATGTCACCTTTCCGCAGTGCCTTACTGTAGAACTTCACTGTATGAACCAGATGTTCAGTTGTTCAGCCTTTCTCTGATTGGGTACCTTCATTCTTTCCAGGTTGGGGCTTTAATGAAGTGAAATACTCTCATACAAATTTAAATACTCTCAGAAAACGGTTTTGTGTGGCGTATATTTTTATTTCTCTTGCATAAATTCCTAAGGTCAACATGGCTGTGTTAAAGAATGTCTGAGTATGTAAGTTTTAAAGAAACTGTTCATTTTCCAAAGCGGGTATATAGCACCATGCCTTGCCCTGGCCCTGTGTGACAGCCTGGTTGTTCTGTGTCCTCCTGAATACTTCATGATGTTGAGTGTTTGTTTCAGCTCTTCTGAGGAGTCAGCAGACCAATCAAGCAGCTGAGTCATTTTTGCTTTGCCTTAGTGACTAGTGATGCCAGCCAGTTGCCATTTTTCTCCCCAGTCATTTGTACATAATCCTCCAAGAACTATCTGCCCAGGTCTTTTGCCTGTTTTTCAGAGTCATTTTCCATTTATCTTTACTACTGGATATATCTCAATTATGTGAATTATAAATACTTTAATTCTGGCTGACCCATTCATTTCTAAGCAATGTATCTGATAAGAAATATTTAAAATTTGATGGCATGTGACTTATTATTATTTTACTCTTAGAACTGCCTGAGAACCATTTAAGAAATATCTCCACAGCACAAGATTACAGAGAGACCCTGCTTTCTTTGTAGACCGAGTCTTTAAACTCAATTTGTAGCCTTATGTCCTCATCTTCCAGGCTTCACGACTATGACTCACCCAAAAGAGTCTCTGCATGAGTGTAAAGCAGGACATCATTTGTCAGAGAGGCTTTCCTTTCCCATCGCATGGCTGCACACCGCAGCCCCTACAAAACTAAGTGGGGTCTCGCCTTGCTTTGAGCGCTACAGTTCACATGATAAGCTTTGTACAAGGATCTGTTTCTAACTTCCCAAACACACAGAGAAATAACCAATTTAATGCAACTATTCTGATATGCAAACAATACTGAATTTTTCTCTGAGAAGGGATGAAGCAGCACCCACTGGCCCCATCCAAGATCAGTCATGAAGAAATTAATGCAGATCACTCTGACTGTGACTTGTGTGGTTCCTTCAAAGAATTCGAGTAATAGTTTAACCTTGGCAACTTTCTGTACCTTTGTCCCCACGAGGGAAAGCACCAGGTGGACGAATGGACTCAGTCAGTTCTTGTATAACTGTCTTTAATTTACATCTTAAAATCTGCACCTTTGACCTTAGACATTTCAAGATTGGAACAAATAGGCTTTGTGTTTTTGAGGAATTAAAAAAACTTTCCTCTTGGTTTATATAACTTTTATATGTAACTGGTAGGATTGATTTTTAATTTTTTGTTTTGTTTTGGTTTTTTTGTTTTATCAAGACAGGGTTTCTCTGTGTTGCCCTGGCTGTCCTGGAACTCACTCTGTAGACCAGGCTGGCCTCAAACTCAAGAAATCTGCCTGCCTCTGCCTCCCAAGTGCTGGGATTAAAGGCGTGTGCCACCACCGCCCGGAGATTTTTAATTTTTTTAAAGTTGACACATTTTAATAATTGTTTTAAAGTATGAGTGGAACTGTTAATGTTCCAATTCTTGAATATTTCCTGTGTAGACGTTTGGACTCCAGACAGCTGTTGCTGCTTTCGCAGTTTGACTTGCAGATAATCACCTTCCAGCCACCGTCCAATGGTGTGCATGCTTTTTGGTGACAGAGATGAACTCTGTGCTAGAAGGCTTTCTAGATTAGGAGGCTAAAGAAATGTGGGGTTAGTCAGGACTCTAAGAGACTTAAGAAATCAAAGAGGTAATCTCTCTCTTTGTGCTTTAGCCTCCTCCGGTGTGGAATCAGAAAAAAAAAATCATCTTCTCAAGATGGCAAAGAGCTGAGTGTGGTGTGAGCCATAGGGTAGCCTGCTGAATGCTCCAAGATCTAAACACTTGAGTTCAAATCCTGCCTACCCAGTTGTGTAACTTAGACACGTTTCCCTCCTTCTTGAGCCCTGGCTCATTTCCTCTCATTAGAAGAAGGATCACTCTGCTGTTACTCACCTCACACTGTTGTGAGAACCTGAGGCTGTTTGCTATTCTTATCCATCAGTTTCCTGGGCTCCACTTTCCGAATGTCTGTGAGCACAGGTGAGGAAAGATGCCCCCGGTTATTCTGCACTATGTCGGTGAATATTTTTGGTAAAGAAAAATCTTTGGGTGTTAGAGATAAGACTCCTCCCGGAGCAAAAGTCAGGAGCGTTCACTGTCGGTATAACTAAGAAAATTATTTCCTCCACAGCTGTGATTTTCAGTCCTGCTCTCATCAAAAACCCATACAACCGTGTGTGACAGGCTGGCTTGTCCAGGACTGAGAGGTTTCTCAAAGCTTGGTTCTCAGTGTGAAAAATCAGTAAAATCCCGGGCAAACTCATCTTGAACTGGGGTAAAATAGTGGTGCTTTTGCAGTACTTGACAAATGCAGTATTTGTCACGTGGGAAAGTGTTAGTGAAGGAAAACCTCCAGCATTGATAAATCAAGGAATCTTCAAAGGAAAGTATTCTGCACACATTAACTGCTACAGAAAATGGTGACTCTGATCTGTTGGGCATGGCTTGAACATAGGACACTTCAAAGCCCACCTTCACAGTGACACAGTTCCTCCAACATGGCCATACCCACTCCAATAAGGCCACACCTCCTAATTGTGCCACTTCCTATAGGTCAGGCATTCAAACACATGAGTCTGTGGGGGCTGTTCCTATTGGAACCACCACACCTCCCCTCCCTTTCTCTCTCCCTCACATCTTCCCTTCCACCATTCCTCATCCTGGGAATTGAACTTAGGGGTGGCAAGCATGGTTGGCAAGCAAGGATTCCATAGCCAGGGCTACATTTTGAGTTCTTTGGTTTCTTAATGTTAGTCATTCTGACCGCAGTGAGATGTAATATCGCTTTCAATCTGAGTTTCTGTGATGACTGAGGCTATTACATAGTTTTTGTATGTTTATTGACCATTTATACTTCTTTGAAAAGTGTCTGTTCACATTGTTTGCCGGTTCATTTATCAGATTATCTGTGCTTGTGCTGTTTAATTCTTTGAGTTCTTCATGAATCCTGGTTTTTAATCCCATGTTGGAAAAGTGGCTGGATAGGATTTTCTCTCTTTCCATCGACTGGTTCTCTTTTTGTTGCTAATTGCTTCCTGTGCTGTGCAGAGTCTTTTAGTTTGATGCATTTGGTTTGCCAGTTCCTGCTATTGCATTTTGAGGTGTTGGAATTTTATTCAGAAATGCATTGTGTATGCCTGTATCTTGCCATGTTTCCTCTGGTAACTTCATAGTTTCAGGTCTTCTATTAAAGGT